AGAAATCAAAGCTTGCAGTCATCCTACTCCTTTTAAACAGACTTTTAAACAGACTTAGACTTTGCATATTCATGTGCATATTTCTAGGTACACATTGTTCCAAATAATTCCTCCTGGGGTTCTTTTGACTAAGTACGTAAACAATTAATGGTTTCAATTTGACCTTTATAAGTCTGTTAGCATAGAAACAGGCAAGACGATTCTTTTGAAGTGAAGTGGATCTGAATTAGGAACCAAAACAGAATTCAGAATGTTGACAGGAGAAATAAGAGGTGATTTTACATATATTTGATGAAGTCTCTTGGAACTGGTAAACAGCCTATGGACATTCCTAGGTTCAGGGTCAAATCCGACACAAAGGCAAAAGTGCATTTTCTCCATTAACCACATTATCCCTCCACACAACACAAATAAAGTCATGCTGCCTCCCAAGTGACCATTTGTAAAACAAAGACAATCAACTTTGCCAAATGTTAAGTGGAAAGCATGCTTGCATAGCCTTTTCCTGTTAAGACTATTTCTGTGCTGCTTTGAGATGCACAAGCATCATGTCATCAAATAAGATCTTTACATAGAGAACCTATGGCTTGCATATCTTTTACCTGTAAATTCTGTTATACCAGCTGTGACATCATACAGCTGGGCCTTTCAAAGACTAGACATAGATCAGCTGTCTTATCCCAGAATCATTTTACAGCCCTCCCCAGACCTGCAAAAGAAATTATGTTAAAAAACCTCAAATGTTCTAGGGGTTTGGGGGGAGGGACAATGTTTTGAGCCCTGCTTAGCATTGTGGTCTCCTCACCCTTCCATTTATTTTTCTAAAACTTGTGGAAACTAAAGAGCACAGGGAGGCATGTTGCAAAAGTCACAATTTGGCTTACATTAGGAAACAGAATTTCAGCCATAGTGTTTGTAGCTCAATTTGTGTTAATTCATTTCTGAGCTGCCTCACTAGAAGAAAGGTGACAGAAATAAAACAGATTCATAAATAAAACAAACAAATAAATATGGTTATATCCTTGAGAATGATCCAGCACTTTCCACTTCTGCAAAATACCCCAGCAAACCTCTGGACAACAACAGGAAAGTGAGGGCTTGCTCAACTGGTACTACATAATTGGCTGTGACATTGAAAACAAATGTAGGAAACATCTAAAAACTACAGTCTTTCATAATCTTGAATCTGTGTCATTTACATAAAGAATGGTAGGTGCTTACAGGGGGCTGAACTTCACTATCCCAAAGTCTGCTCATACTTCTAGACAAATCAATTGAATTTATTGAGAGTATTCACTAAGACCCAGGTTTGAAACTGATCAAAGCGAGTTATCAACAAGCTCACTTTGCAAGCCAGGAATTCTCCAGAGAACAGGAGGGAAAATGTTTGCCAAATGTCTTAGATTACAATTCCCACAATCCTTTTCTATTCTCCATACTCGCTGGAATTTGTGGGAGCTGACATGTGGATAGCCGAAAGGTTCTGTTCAAGCTCCTGGGAATTCAGTGGCACTCGTGGTACCTTCAAACAGTGCTGCAATTGCCACTCTCTGATAAGGCCCAACACCAAAAAGGACCTGAGACTCTCCAGACACTGCTGGTTCCTAACTGCTGGTCATGTGACCATTATTTCTAGAAGAGGTGGGATGTATCTCGTTCTGGTGCCTCAGCTCTCAGCACTCCACCCTAGGCTGACCACATGTCTGGACTCATAAAATCAAGCTTCCTAATGGTATTGCTTTCAGCTTGCCTGATGCACCCAACCACCCTCCTCACCATATTAAAGGGTGCATCCAAGAGGAGCTTTGTTTTATTATTGTAATTTTGATTTATGTTTGCAGGTTGCCTGATACACTGAAAGTTGTAGGTTTTAAATGTTTTCTATAAAAATCCATTCAAATGGCTTTGTCATTTCGTGTTATTTTTAAGAAACAAAAGTTACGTGAAAGTAATTAGAAAGTTACAATTGTTATAAACCCATAAGCTTTTGACAAAACGAGTAAAACAAGTGATACTTTCATTTGGTCTTTTACGAAAGCTCATCCCGGATGAATTGTGTTAATCAGGTCAGTATTCCACCCACACATGCTTCCTTGCTGGTTTGATTTCACCTCTGCGCATAGCAATAAAAAAGAAGATGAAATCTTGTAATATACATCTGCAAAAACAAATGTTTGAAGTGTGACCTTAGTTACTTAACTAATTACTTCAGTTACTCCCAAGGACTATAGAACTCATCAAACTATTTCTAAGAGTTTTATTCTTTTTTCCTTTCCTTTTCTCTCTCCCCCCCCCCAAGTCTGGCAGATCACAGATTCACAGCATGAGCAACTGAACTTCAGCCGAGGACTGGGATTGCCTATTCTGCAATTTCTTAATGATGATGATATTTCCCCTGAAAGAAGCAGACATAATGAGCATGCAAATGCTTTGTCAGGCTCACATTATTCTCTTATTAACTTGAATATCAAAATCTATTACTATTTTTTGTGTGTGCCGGAGAGTTGACATGCTGGGTAATGCTCATTATACAAGCCCTTAGAAAGCATCATCATAAAACATCTAGTGTATGCTTGTCTACTTCTTAATTTTTGTAGTGTCTTTTTTTCCTCACACCCCTTTGGTTTCTGGACTAGTAAAAATAGTGTCTTGTTAGTGCAGGTTATACACTGTGAATGTGGGGATAAATAACATAAGTCAATGCATGTAACAACTATACCTGTTTTCCCCAACATGGTGTACTTCAGATTGCTTGGAACACAACTTCCATAATTCCCAGATGCCAGAGCCAACAGACATGCATGTTGTGGAAGACAGGGATTGTAACACAACCCAGTTTGAGGGGCCCAACTTTCTAAGGGTTGAATTATACAATAATTTATCCATAATCATACACTTATGGATAAATCATATTGCTTTAGCAACTTTGATAGCAGCCCAGAGAGCATTGTATTGAAGAGATGGTATAATATGTGATAATACAGTAGGACCCCCGTATCTGTGGTTTCACTTATCCTCAGTCTGAAAATATTTAAAATACTAAAACAAAAGAAACAGAAATACATGTTTTCACAAAACTGGTCACTCTAAGGAGCTAGTATTTTAAGCTTTTACAAAAGCCCAAAGTCATTATCTAAATAAAATGATCAGAAGAAAATGCTATTAATTTTCTTTTAATAAATTAGGTTGCTCATAGTTTTCTTTGCATATGCAGCTCTTTTGACATGTGTTTGCAAATATTATTTTTAAAATATATTTGCTGCAACTTTTGCTCCTTTTATCATTCTATTAAAGTTAAATAATTTATATTTCTTTAAAAAGTGTTCCATAAGCATTTACAAAACCTCACTTTTCTCCCATTTCAGATGCAATTGATTCCTACAGTTTTTTTTTGTACACAGATCAGTGAGAAAGAAGAGAAATTGTTTAGTTTCTATTCCTCAGCACTAGATTAAAATGTCACAATAAATGTAACCAAGGAAGGGAAAAGGGGTTGCAGTTTTTAACACATAAAAGACAAAAGTTGAAAAGTCACTTCAAAGAAAAAGAGGGAGAGAGGGCTTAATGGAGCCAATTACTACCTGACAGCAATTTCTTTAATTGTACTGATTTGTAGATAGTGCTACAGACAAACAGGCTGCAGAAGACTGATTTAGAAATGGTGGCTTCCTAATTTCTGGAATAATAAGCATTAATTTCTTATCCCAAATGCTGAGACCAACAGATAATGGCTGAGAGTGAAGTGCAGGTGTCACTACAATTGTGTAATCTCTCAAACGCTAGTGTTCCACTACCAGTATCAGCAGAAACACTTATCTCTGTATGTGTGCGTGACTCTGTGACAGCAATTTTCCCTACAAATTATAAATATTGAATATGACCCAAAGCTCCATGAGTCCAGGAGCTCATGCGTATCCATGGACATGGAGAAACCTCTCACTGCAAGCACTAACCATCCCCAGCTTCTTTGCAGAAAAAGGTAGGAAGCCCTTGTACATGTGACACTCTGGATGCAAAAAATAAAAAAATAAAAAATAAAAAGCTACTGATCATTGCCATGGAGTAAGTTGCATTTCTTGTACTTACGGTAATGTGCACAAAATTTGAATTGATATATTTCATTTCGCACAGAGCAGGAGATGGGCAGTATGCATCCCTAAGGCCACCTGAGAGCCTCCTTACCATGTAAAAATAAAAAAAATTAAAAGGAGGGTGAAACAGCCCCGTTTACACTCCTGCAGGATCTGGCAGCAACCTTTGGCCTCAAGCTTGCCAGAGTTGCCCATCCTTGGTATAAACCACACTTTCACCTTCACCATTTGTTTTCATCCTTATTTCTGCCATATTTTCTGCATTAATCAAGCATTAATCTCTAAAACTGCCCAAAAACGGCACTGCAGATTTATTTCAGTATTTATAGTATTTCCAAACACTCTATGCATAAATAAAAGAAAAGGGCATTTTAGCCACAGTGGCCATAAATGCAGATTATACTATATATTTAAGCAGTACTAGAGGTTTGTTTTTGCATGACTTTCTGCAGAAAAGACCTGAAATGACAGAGTTTCTCAGGCTGACAAGTAGCTTCCTAGCCTACATATTCATTGTAGACAAGGACGAATGTGCTGGACACATTGGTCTCCCACTCACACAAGGCCCTCCTCTTTTCACAGGTCAGACCAAACATCACTGCATTCAGTTTGAAGCTCATTTCCACAATTTGTGTTGCACCTTGTTTTTCACTTCTGTCTCAGACGTTGTCATGACAACAAAGGACAAGCCTTCCACTTATGGGAACCTTTGTAAAAACATGTTAAGGAAAAAGCCTGTTCTCACGAATCCAAACCACACTGCCCCAAAACTATATCCTAAGGAAGATATTCAGTGATGCTGCTGGGCCTCCATCAAGGAAGAACACTGAGAAGGAACAAATATTTTAGGAACTGCAGCAGATTTTTAAGAACCAAGGAAAACTCACACTTAAAAATAGAATGACTCACAGTGGCAAGTTTTTGGACATCCTCGTCAGATGCTCCCAGGGAGGCCAATCCAATCTCTTGGGAAAACTGAGCAAATTTAGGGTCTGCAAGCAGAGGCACGTGTCCCAGGAGTTCATGGCATGTATCCCTGCCACAGAATTAAAAAGCCATGTTAGTAAATGTGTTAGAAGTAGCCTGGAACAAGGCAAATAAAAACCTCTTCAACAATCCTGAATAAACAGTTTACTACGTTTTTTTCTTTAAATATATACATCTGTCACAACTTATAAAAGGCCTATTTATAGAAAGAAATCTTTGATGAGCAGGGAATTTTTCCCCTCTGTATATAGTCCCATCCAGATTCACACCACACATCTTTTACAAACAAGAAAATTGTCTCCAAGTGATAATAGTGGCAGTCCCAAAAGGAGGAAGCCTCCTCCACTTAAATAGATTACTTTTCATCTTTCTTGGTATTCATCACGAAAAGAAAAGTGCCCTTTGTCTCTGTTTTCAAGCAACATAATACTTCATGAAAATACAGTCTGAAAGGGGAATGTGAATATGTATATCTCTGTACCCATATAGATTTTGTACACCAGCCATTTAATTCCTGATGCATCTCACAGTGTAAACAGCACAACTCACTAGCACAGGCCTGTGTTATTGATACCAAACCATCTACTGAGTTTCTTGAATCACAGCCAAATATGCAAGGAATATGCTCTGCCTGAATAGGACAATAAGGTAATTATGAAGCAAGCAGGAGTTTCCTGGTTTATGTCTACTTTTTTTTTGTATTCTTTTTTTCTGCCTTTGACAATATAGAAGCAGGTAGCAGGGAAATATGAATCGAGCCGGTGTCATAAAGCCTTGGCGTTCATCTTCAATTCTCAGCTGCCACCTTGTGCCTCTTGTCAAAGACGTCACCATTGGGAATCAAGCCACATTGTTGCCAGCTGAACAAGAATCCAAAGCTGCCTGCAGGTGATAAGTTAATGTTTCAAGTTTTCTACTCTATTACAATGTCCCCTTCTGTTCAGTACTAACATTTCCCCTCAAGTGCATGTGAGAACACTCTTGAGTAGAACAAGATCACCACAGATAATTTAGGGAACTTGATTTTCTGTGGTAACCTTTCTTTTCAGAAGCAGTGATGCAAGTCTACTAGTAGAACATATGCTGCAGGAAGGACTGAAAGAATTGGGAATGTTTGAGAAAAAAAAGGCCCTACAGCAGTCATCCCCAACCTTTTTGGGACCGCGGACCATTTTGGGGGTGCAGGCTCCATATGTGGAATAGTTGGGGAGCACGGGCATGCTTACAGAGGGGCGTGTTATGCTTGCACGCATGTGTGGGAGTGCGACACGTCCACCCACTCTTAAAATCTGCCTCGCTTCTAATTTTAGCCCAACCAGGAGTGGGAGCAGCAGCGGCGGCGGCACCTACTTGGCGAGCCTGGGGCTTCCTCATCAGGGGGTCCCAGAAGTGTCCTCCTTCAGAGTAGTCTCCCTGGTCCTGGAAGGCACAGGAGCAACTCCGCCACCGACCCTCCCCACTGTGTAGGGGCTGGGTCCCACCTCCCCCCGAAGCACCCATGCATCCAGAAGGGGAGCCCGCTCCCTGCCCGGTAGTCTTCTCCCTCCGAAGCGGTGGAGCTCATGGATCAGGAGTTTGGCACTACCGAGGCTTCTGGTTTTAGGTCTCTCTCTCTCTCCCCCACCCCGTCGCTCTTCACGAGTCACCTGGAGAGGCACTCTGAAGTGCTCTGGCGATGTGCCAGGGAGGGAGGGAAGGAGGGGCAATGTGGAGCCCTTACCTTGAGTGCTTCATTGGGCCACCTCTCCAGGTGCTGGTGCCACTGCAGCTGCCGCTGCCGCCTTGTCCTCTCTGCAGCTGAGGTGATGGAGGGGCCCCGCTCGCAACCTGGCTGCGCACTTCTCCTTCCTTCTGCCTGGCACTCCTCTGCTCCCTGCCCAGACGTGCTGTGGGAGGGGATGATGCCAAGAGCACAGCCTTCTCACACCTACTCCCCTCCCCCAGTTTCTATTCACAGACTGCCGCAAAGATCTCGTGCCTGTCCGTCCATCGGTCTTGATGGTCTGTTGCTCGTTCCCTCTCTCCCTCGCTCTTCCTTTCCTGCTGCTGCTTGTTTGCCGCCGCCGCCAGGGCTGAAGAGCCGTGGCCAACAAGGGGAAACAAACGTTTCATCCAAGAGAACAAAGCAGCCAGTAACAGGCACCGCCGACCCACCCGCCAGCCAATGGGGAACCACAAAAGTGTGACACGCCCCCCCATGTGTGTGGGTGGGGATGGAGATCCGTGTCCATGGCCCAGTTGAAGGAAGCCCATGGACCAGCACCGGGCCGTGGACCAGGGGTTGGGGACCCCTGATCTAAACAAACCACACAGGGAGTGCCCCCAGATCGCTTTACACCTAAACCTGTGGATAAAGTTCTCCCCTTAATGGAGCTTCCAAAGGGAAATAAATTAGTTCTGGCCCATACCCCATTCCCCACTGCTGATTTATTTGACTGGAAACAAGACCTTCCGCCATATCGAGAGGCCCTTCAGAAGTACCTGGACTTGATCCAATGGATCATTACTACTCACCACTCTTCTGAGCAGCCTCGTAAGCGAAGATGAGAAATGCCAGGCTCTTGCTAAGACCTACGCCTGGTATACTACTCATAGGGTTCAACAAATAGCGAATGGCAATGGAACAGTTGATTGGCCTGAAGCAGCAGCCCTCATAACCCACATTATTGATCCCAATCCTAATAAGCTTGCTGGGGCCCACCTGCTGAAAGCAGCAAGAAATGCTGTAATTCATGATCTCAAACTAGGAGTGTGAAAGGCTGTGAAACCTTCAGAGAGTATATGAGATTGTTTTTTAAAAAACCCACGGAATCCCCAAATGAATTCCTGACGAGGCTCAGGGATGGCTTTCACTAATGCACTCACCCTGCTCTGGATTTTGAATCATCAGCCAGCTGTGCTACAGGTGCAGCTCCAAAAACACCCAGCCATGTGTGACTGCAGCCACTGCCACTGAACTGCCCGAGTCCTGCTGCTGGTCTGGTCAGACATTTATGCATCAGCGGTAGCACAGCTACAAAAAGCACTTTGCACATGTCTCTCTGCTGTCTGTCTACTCATTGTCTAAGATAGAAGGGTACTTCTGAGGAGAGATACCTGCTCAATAAAATGCTATGTACAACAACTCTGAGTCAAGTTTCTTTATTAGACAAGGTAGCTCAGGGCCATGCTCCTATGGAAGAATATTGCAGGAAGAAGGAAGGGACACAAATAATATTTTCATTTATAATGGTGGGAAGGGTGGGAAGAAATGCATGGTTTGCAAATCATGAGCTGTGTGAATGGGATGACTCATGAGGCCGAGGGGGCTGGGAAGATACTGGGATGGATGCAGGCGGGTGCCCTAATCATCAGTCAGGAGGTAGGGCATGGGCAAGATATTTAATATTGTAGAAGGGACCAAGCTGCCCAATCATGTGTAAAAACATAAGGAAGAGTCCAAGTGCAAACTCAACATTACCCAATCCAGGAAGGAGAGCAGGAAGATGGACAGTGAAAGGGCCAGGCCTTGAACTGTGTACAGTTCTGTAGAATTGTGTAGAGTTGTGTCAGATGGACAACAGACTATAGGATCCCTGGAAAGCAGAGCCTAAGAATTCTTGCCTGAAGTATAACTTTACACAGCTCTAGTCACTAACCTTGCCACTAATCGTGAGCTAGGGCAGGGGGAAGAGGGGGTAATGTGAGGCCATCTTACAGATCAATAAACAGAAGTTTTCTTTGGCTGCCTCCTGTGATTCTCTCAGATGGTGGGGTGGGTGGAGGTTTAAATCAGAGAAAGGTAAATGTCATGGGGGCACTCTGACTGCACCAGATGCACTAGGAGGGGCTTAGCCTTCTACGGCGCAAACTGGTGTTGCAATGGGTTTCATGACAGCTGCAGAAAGGACTTGCATTTGGGGGAAATAGCACACTGTACCTTTAACAGGCATCTCCCTCTTAATTGTGAGAGTCTGGTTCAGCCAGCCTAAGGCCAGCCTAGCTAGTTAGGATTATACCCTAAGTCAGGACAAGAAAAAGGAAGGAAGATTTATTTTAGTGCTAACTTTTTCTGAATTTGGACCAGGGTTCTGTGACATAAATAGTACTTTGAATGGCAATTAGTTCTCCAACATCTTCTAATATTCCATTCTTGACTCTTGACCTAAAAAGGAGTAGGTAAATAGCTCCACGTCATTAACTAAGATAGTTAATGGATGCTCATTTGGAGATACTACTTATCATTTATGAGCTTATAAGAAAAACAAAAACAAAACAGCCCTACAGCAGCCCATGCAGAAGTATTTATGATCCACAGGACAAAACTTTTATTTCACTCTTGCAAGCAGCCTTAAGTTGGGCTTAAGAGTGTGAGATATATTTAAATAACTATTGACATACCGCTGAGGAAATAATGAGTGAAGGTGTCACATGACCTCTGAGGTCACATGATCGCTGGAGCAACAGTGCTCTAAGTTCTTGACAGTTGGCCTTTGCCCACTTGCTGCTTTCCTGGCTCAACAGCCATTGGGAGCAGAGTGAGTTAGAGAGACCTTGGCTTTTCAAAGCTACTTACATTTACTTTTCATCCAGGCTTAACCATGGACTTTCTCAGCCATTCAGGTGCATAGTTTGTAGAGATGTACTCTGTATCAACGGACAGGATTGCTTCCTGTTTTGTCTATAGCTCTGGAAACTACATTAAGGCGTTGCCTGGGTAGCGTAGGTTTCAGATGGTGAAGTCTGGCAGGGCAGTTGATGTGGTACTTTTGAGAGGTTGCTGTTGTTTTTTAATGGAGAAAAATGGGTTTATTAGGGGGCAGCCAGATGTAAGCTGGATTTCAATAGACTTCACACACAGATGGGAAAGAGTAGCATTTGTGGGGATCCTTTTCTGGGTGCCCCCTTTCTGATGGAGCCGTGGGTGTAGTCCTTGGAAATGAAACAGAAATGTTTCATTTCTGAAACATTTGCCCACGCTGCGTGATTAATCTGTGTATTTCATTCCTAGCATTCATTAGATTGTATTTGGTTAATCTCCTTCCTTAGTAACCATAATTAGAAAAACAG